TTAAAAATAATAGTGACAAACCCAAATGTTAGCCTATGTCATTTGCGTGTTTGGCTTTTGTTTCTCCTCTACATGAAGAGCTCAGATCCTTGGGATTTCTTGCCATTCTTGTGCAGGTGAAACTTTCATTAAAATCACCTAGGGTTCTGTTTTGTTCAATTTTTTCCCTGTTTAGGGAGTAAAGGAATAAACTCACTCTATAAGTATTATATTTGCAATTGCTGTATTTTACATTGGAAAATGCTGGTTTTTTAATTACTATTATGACATGACATACCTTTTGATCTCTCCGTTTCTGTAATAATTACTGATGAGCGCCAGCTTTGGCCAAAACCACAAAGTGGTTTCTTCTAAAACAGTAACACGAGTGGCTACTCATAGGCAGTGCTGATCATCCACAGCAGTCTGTGGGAATTCAGCTGGAATTAATTGGAGTTACAGATGTTTGTTTCCTTTTGAGATCTTTGACCTAACTTTTATATAAAAGACCTATAATAACAGCAGACCAGCTTGCTCCAAAAGATAACCCTATGATTAGTTTGGTCTGCCTGGCTTCAAATCCTTTTAAACCCATATCTGCTGCGTGGCAGGCAAGGACGTAAAGGTTTGACACAAGGCGAGGTGGGATTTTTTTTGGCTATTTCCCATCTTTTTCCTCTGGCTGGAGATCTGGATTGGTTGCCTAGCAGCCCTCTCTGCATCCTTCTTACTTTTCTTGGCTAGAAAGCAAGATTTGAAATTCTTTCCCAACTTCTAACTTTCTTTCTATAGAGTCAGCCCAGGGACGAGTTGCAGTGCTTGGGCCAACAGATGTAAATTTTCAAATGCTTTCCTATATCTAAACTAGTAAATTAAGGAAATCACCAGCAATGCCTTCAGACAAGTACTGACTTTCTGAAGCTGCCAACCAACGGCTGCTAATCTAAAATCACTGGGCAATACCAAAAAGAATTAAATATGTGTATTAATTTAAAATACAATGTTGGCACCCCATAAGAAATTAAGTACTCAGAAGTAAAATCTGCGGCATGATTAGATTAAGTGGAAAGTAGTTCCAAGATTGTTACTATTGAGGAAGACAAATGTTGAGTCCTTCAAATTCTCTTGCTGAGTAATTGCGGTTCCCTTCCCCTCCTTGGAAATCTTCTAAGCCATTCTTTTCCTTTTAAGTTTGCTCAGGCACCCAAAACCATAAAGAGTTAATGCCCTTGTAATGGTCATTTGTACATAAAGTTGTAATTATTTATTTTCTCATTTGTACCATATCAAGGCTTTGTACAATGTCTTAAGTTTTGTTTTCAAATTATTTTGTATTTTATTTTTATAAACTGGTTCTAAATAAAATATTCATTCAGCATGCAAAACTTCAATTCTTGATTGTGTTTGTATAAGGATTTAAATATTTATAAAGCTTCAGTTGAATTTTTTTCAGTATTTTTTACTAGTGTAACCCTGTACTTTAAATGGGGAAAGTGCTTTGGCAGTGATATTTTTTTTTCTCTGTTACAAGAAATCAAAAAGCAAGTGTCTGTTTGTGCTTCTGCCACGTGAGTCAGATGTTTATGTTGCAAGTCGGAATGATTGGATTAATGGAAGTTTTACAGATTTAGTAGCTTTGTGTGTTGCTTATTAGTAAGAACAGAGAAACTCAACCGTCCTCCTCAGAAACCTCCCTTTCTATTTGCTCTTTCTCTTAACCCTACTCTTTGCATTCAGCCAAACAATGACTGCCACAGCCAGACCAGCTCAAGTTCAGTAACAGTGTGGTGGAGCCCAGCCTTGTCATCCTGAAGAGCCAGCTCCTTAACTTTTTCCTTCAAAATTGTAATTCCTTATTTAGTCAGAAGCCACCGTAGTTGATTTCTTTGGAGATGATGAGCTGAGCTTTTATAGCCTCTTGAGGAGACCAGTCTCATCCTCTGTACAACACGCTTCAGGGGCAGAGAGCAGAGAGCTGAGTGCATGGAAGTTGTCACTGAATCCGAGCAGTTTGTGCTACATGGAAACGCAGCATTAAACAACCAGTTGCTCTAGTTTCCTCCAACATCCTTTCATTTTGCTTTCTAGTAAAACTAGGTAAAAGAAGTGGAGTATAGTATCATCACAATTTATGGTTTTGGTTTATGCACCTGCATGTCTTAGTTCTTGCGTGCTGTGGAAAATACTGCCTGCTTTTTGCGCATCAGAACAAGGTTTTTAGGCAAATCCAGAATAATTGGAGAAAACTCCCTGGATCTCTTTCTTGGCATTATCACTGTTATACCTTATATGTAAGGCAAATTAAAAGCCAGCTCTGCCCCTGTTCAAATCATCGGCGATATTTTCATTAAGCTTCATGACCAGATCATTAGCTCTTGTCATTTATATAAATAGCCCAAATTGCTTCAGATGACAGGAAACAAACTGGGTATTCATTTACTCGGTAACATTCCAAGAAAATTATATTTCCTCTTCTGTTAACAGTAGCCAGAAATTTCATGGTGTGCTTCTGGATGGTGTGTGGTTTTGGTGCTCCCAACACAACCATTGTGTGATCACAGAAAGGGCACGTAAAGAAATAGCAAGCCAGCTGTAGTAATTTGAAGATGAAAATAACAGATTTGCGCACTCTGCACTGGTGACGGGTAGCTTAGTATCTTTCCTTGTTTAAAATATTATGTAAATTTGGATCATACCAGTGATGGGAGAGTGGTTTTGATCCAGCTCCAGCACACATTAGTGGTGCCACTGACAGGCAGTGGGAGAGAAGCACGACTGGGACAAAGACGCTGTGGCAGATGGGTGTTGAGGTCTGGTGGTTGTCTGACCATGGCAGTGTCTTAGCATTGCCTGGCTTCTCGTCTTCGTTCATGCAGGAGATCCAAGCTGCCCACTCTGCTCTGGGGGTCTCGCTGCATTTCTCTGCACTCGCCCTGTAGCTTCCTCTCATCTAAACTCGGACACCATAAAGCTGTGTAGCAGACAGGAGCCAGCTCTCCCTGGAAACGCTGCCATAAGGGAAATTCGAGCATTAACAAGCAGAGAAAGGATTGAAACAAAGAAAGTCAGACAGGTAAGAACTGGCTCTTGCAAGCAGGACAAGCTCAAACCGCTGCCCAGAAGGACCAGGTAAACTTTAGATTGCATTTTGCTAATCTACTTGGAATGTCACAGTAGCATTAATTGGCTTCTTTGTCCGCCAGAACAAAATACAAATGAAGGATGCCTTCTTCAGTTGCAGGAAACGCTGCTCAAGAGAGACCGTCTGTACTAATGGGGAGAAATAATACTTCCAACAGGTTAATTAATTTGGAAAGCTTTTAACAACATAGACTAAAAAAATCAGATTTAGAAGGATTAGTTCTTTCCTGTTTTTAAACCCAGCAATTTATGAATAAGGCATCAATACCTGTCACCTGCACTATCTCCTCTCATTAAGGTAAACCCAGAAGCAACAACCTCCTCTTCTTCAAGAAATTAATCCCAATTAACAGTGTGCTGTACATGTATATGTTTTAGTTTTGGGAGATACTTGGATGTTTTACTCCCATTTGTGGTACTGAAGGGGAACACTTGCTAACAGCATGACTTGCCTGTGTTCACATTTTACAAGGCAGCAGCTGTCATTTTTTGAGGCGTGTGTGTGTGATCAGCACACCATAATGGTGTGATGCCTTAAGTTAAAGGAAGTACTTAAAAAGTACATTTTCATACAGCATAGTGCTCTGCCAAAGCCAACTGCAAAAATGCCGTACCTTACCCTACAATTACATGCGCTTATGCTGGTAGAAGAGAACAAAATTGGGTTGCTGTTCTCTACATCATTTGTATTTGCTAAATTCTTGTGCAAAATCACTGGAAAACTAGAGGCAGCCGGTCAGTCATTGCTACAGGCCAAATTTATCTGTAGAACTTCAATATTGGTGATAAAAGCTTAAGATGACCCGCGTGATTTTTGCAGTCATCAGATAAAACGGCGGGTGAGAGGGCTTGTTTCCCCTCCAGTGGGGACACTGGGTGTATCAACACAGCACCGCTGCCGATTTCGGATTAGGTGAGGTAGAGCAATTCCAATACCAGCCTCAAACACATCTTAAGAATAGCATCAGTGACAATAGTTTCCTCCTCTCTCAATGTGAAACCAGGTTTCTTCTTTTTTACAAAGCATCAGTGACAATAGTTTCCTCCTCTCTCACTGTGAAACCAGGTTTCTTCTTTTTTACATCAGGATAAAGCGATCCCTTTGTCCTTGTTTCTGAGTTGACACTTAACAGGTTACTTTTTGCTTCAACTCTTGTTTTTCTTCTTCCTTGGATATATAGTTAAAAGAACAGAAGATTTTACTCATTTCTCCAACAGGTGAAGATGAAAGCTTCATAAACTATGCAAGAGCATTTGTTCTGTCTGGAGTAAGTCAGCTCCTGCCTCCTGTAATTTGTTTAACAGCAAATCTAATTTCTGTTTCATGTGAAACTATACAGAAGTTTTTTTTGCTCTTTATACTTCAAATGTTGCAGTATTAGTTTCAGAAGGCTGGAAAAATCTCATGAAGATACAGCCTGCTTATATAAACCATAAGGGGGAAATATTATTCCATGTCAAAAACAGGCATCACTCATCAATTACTATTTTTTTTTTTGCTGTATTTTTCTATTTTAATCATGTGACATGAAAGAGCCTACCCTGCTAGTGCAGTGAAACAAAACGCCTCAGAGGAGAAGGTGCATTTGACAAGCTGGGAAGGAACAATGCTGTATGAATCTCGAGAAGTACATTCATGGAGCAACAGCTCACTCCTAAACCATTCCTAGAGTAAGCAGGTACGTCAAGCTTCCTGTGACACCTTGCACACAACTCAAGACTTAAAAAAAAACCAACTCACAACAACAACCACCAAGCAAACACCTCCAACATTACTGGAAAGAGCAAGTACTTAAAAAACCAACTACTTCTGAGGTTTGTTTCATAAAAAAACTAAACAACTTGTGTAAGAGAGCTCCTGCCGGTCAGTAACCATAATGTTACTTTTTTACCCCACTCTCATGCCTTTTATTTTTCAAAAGGTCACATTAAACAAAGGACAATACAGACAACAGTCTTAGTCAAAATAAATCTGTTTTTTTGTTTTTTAAAGAGAGTAAGAGGATAAAGAAAAACAGAAAAAAATTATTAGCCAACTGCAACAGAGTTAACAAACAGGAGACTGGTAATTAGTGTTTAATGCCACCTATAGCGAAATGTTTCCCACTGGGAAAAACATGGGAGGCAAGTCCACTTTGCTCCTTCAAGGTCACAGGCTGGAGCAGAACATACAACAGCACCTAACACCACAGTCACTTTATACATATTCAAGTTTTTACACATCTGCAAAGCAGAAGTAGTAGCAGCCGTTTGGATGTTCTTTCTTAATGGTTCTCAGGGGGGGCCTAGGGAACTCGGAAGGACCTGGTTCTTGTGACATGGAGCTGGAGCTGCAGCTGCTGCTTCTGCTGCTGCTTCCAGCCGCCTGTGTTCTACCTCTGTCTTCAGCAGGGGAGACCTGGGGGGACCCCGGGCTTAGGTACCCAGCTGGGGTCTGCGTAGAGGCGGTGGTGTACGTGGTTGGTCCAGTGTTGTTTTTGACATAGACGTTTTTGATAGCAACAAGCGTATGCGCCATGATGCTGAGGCTGTGACTCAGATCTTGCATGCCTTGCTGCAGCAGCCGAAGATTGTGGTTGACGCTGTCAAAGCCAGACTGGATCACCTGCATCTGGGTCTGCTGAATCTGCATTAGGTCCTCTTCAGTTATTTCATTTTGGTCTGCCTGGGCCCTGCCTTTTGTTTTGGCTTTTACTTTCCCAGAGGAACCACCGCCCGATGTCCCCAGAAAAGGTAGTTGTTCTTGGCTAGGTGGAACCACCGCCATGTCCTCAGAGCTTTCTTCTGGCTCTACCACCTTCACTACTATTTCTTCTTTGAGGTTCATCTTCTCAAGACCCGACTGATGAGACGGGCCAGGATCGTCATTAAACCCTAGAGGAGAATGTGGGGAGAGAAAAAGCAAAGGAGAGTAGTGAGTGAGAAACTTCATGACCTCAGCGGTCAGTGAAATGTGTTCTTATCTACTAAGCACTAACATTAGTCCTTGACGCATGACTCTATAACTCACACTGCATTATCTTTGATGCTTTTAGAATACATATTACCTCAGTAAGCGGGAAGAAAACCGCTCACCAGTTAACCATTCAGTTGCATGCTATAGATCCCCCGCCAGCCCCACCACAGAAGCCGAGTTTTGGGTTCCGAGAGGCAAAGCTCCTGGCAAGCTCCTGTCACGCTCTGCTGTGTGCACCGTAAGCTCTAACAGCGTGGCCAAACCCCAGTGACTACAAGCAAGCCCTGGGTATTGCAGGTTTCGGCGCGCCCGGGCGATGTCTCTCGGGGAGGTATGAGGAGCTTACGGACCCGCAGCACTTTGTGCTGCCGCCAACTGCGCGCTGGCGGGGCTTCCCGCGTTTGCGGGAGTAAGGGCTACACAGGGGGCTGGCTCCGATGCCTCACGGTGGGGGGACAGCGACTACGAGACGGGTCCCCACGGGGAACCGGCTGCGGCAGCGGATCGGCCCCGTTCCTCCCCCGGAGACCGGGGAAGCGGCTGTCGGGGGACGCCGCGCCGGGGAGGGGGGGTAAAGCCGGGCGGAGGCTGCGGGTCAGCGCCGCGGGGGTCGGTCGGGCACTCACCCATCTCCCCCACGACGGCGCCGGGCAGCTCCAGCGTGTCGATGCCGCCCACGATGGGCACGGCCTCGGCGGGCAGCAGGGAGCCGTAGGCGCGGTGGTGGTGGTGGTGGCGGTGGTGGAGGTGGCGGCGGGCGGGCGGCGCGGCGGCGGGCGGCATCTCCTCAGGGGCCAGGAGGAGGCCGAGGGCGGCGGCGGGGCCCGGCGGCCCGCAGCCCTGCGAGAGGCGGCAGAGCTTGCTGCGGTCGCGGCGCTTCAGG